CTAGGGGCCAAACAAACTACTAAGGAGGATTTTGAGGTCATACAAGTATAGATCTGACATCACTGAAATCTGATTTGTTTTGAAAGTGTTTCTTTTGCTTCATTTTTGAGCAGTGTAGAGTTACAGATATCAATTTGTCATAACCTAGGGAGAAAAAGTTGAAAATAACTTTTAACCCTCTCAGGCTCAAATTAAGTTTTAGTTGCTAATGCACAACCACGTCCTGCAGTGGTACTTCTGAGTAAAAAAAAAACAGAAATATGTATGTGGGGTAATCGGGTTGTTAGTTTTTAACTGTTGCAAATCGGCAACGCCTGCCTCGAGAGGGTTAATGTAAAAATTAGTATTTCAGACATGATGACAAACCAAATCTATGTCATTTTCCTCTAATACAACATGTGGATGTGAGACAATCATCTTTTGGGCTTTGTTCTGTAAAGGTAATATTGTTAAAGACACTTTAATTATGCACAAGAATATTTTATGTGTCCATCCCTTCAGCACAGTGACATGTGTTTCTACTAACAGACTGGGCTAGAGTGGCTTATGAAGGAGTAGATTTCAAAGGTTCTGACATTCGCGATGAGCTGATGGATGATGCAGACACATGCCAGAAGACATGCACTGAGGACCCTCACTGCCAGTTCTACACCTACGCTGATGAAACCTTCTTTGATCGCAGTTATCGGTGAAGTATTACGAATACTTCTGTGCACACTTTAAACTAGTAATTCACGTCGCACCCAGAAACCACGTCACATTTATTAATCTGTTGTATTCACACTTTTTGTAATCTGATGACAACTATATCTCCAGTCTCTAATTTAAACTGTTGGATTTTTGTACTGTAGGCGTCGCTGCAACCTGAAGCGTGTCATCACCATCCCTGCTCCTCCCAAAGTCATCAAAGTCACCAATGTTGTGTCGGGTTTCTCCCTTAAAAACTGCCCATAGACTCAGGGATCTACTTGTAACATGTGTGAAAGACTTCACAGCTCTCAGTGGGATTTTTGTGGAACCTAAATAAATCATTTCAAACATGAGCTGTCTGTCTGACATGTTTATTAAACAAATATGTCCACTTTAGTCTCATCTGACCAAAAGGAAAATGTTCCAGAAATTTTTGTTTGTTTAGATGCAACACAGCTAACCTAACCTAAAATGTGCTGCTATGTTCTTTTTAGTCAGATGAGAGTTTTTCTCTGTAAACTTTCCAAACAAGCCACTTGTTCAGTTTTTTGTGATTGTGCTGACATGAACTTTAACATTTAAAATGTTAACTGAGGCCTTTGCAATCTAAAAATGAACTCTTGGGTTTTATGTTTTGTTTGGGTTTTCTCAAAGGATTGTACGTTCTGTGTTTAGGGCGAATTTGCTGGAATCTCTGCTCCTGGGAGGATTATGGTTTTGCATTAACACACATGTACATGCTCCAGCCCCAACAAGC